ATTCCTTTAACACTGCTTTGATTTTAAAAAAAACAACAACAAAGAAATGTCAATAAGTCTTTTGATTAGTGATAAAAACACAAAGATTGTGGATAGCAGGCTGAGAACTGTATTAATCTAATGGCATCAGACCAGCATAGTTTGGTAACTCACCTCTGGTTGGATGGCTTTGAACACAGGAGCATCCATGAGGGTAATCTGGCCCTAAGGAAACAAAACAGCAGCTGTTAGATCGGCTGAACAGCCGAACCCCTACGGTCGGTAGAAAGAGCTGCTAATAACTGCTTTTACATCCAGAGCCAATGTTTGCATTTCCATTATGGTGCTGCATCACTGCTTTGTGTTACTGCATGCATTATGCAAAACAAACACGACGTCTTCTTGTTTGAACAACAAATCTTTTACAAACTAGACAGAAAATCTGATTGATAAAAGGCTCTAAGCATACATTTAGAACCTTAAACAGATTTAAAATACCTTTAATTCTTAGTGAGAAAATCTGAGACATAAATGTAGATAATACTGCCATCCTGTGGTTGACGATGGTAGCGCAGGAAACAGCAGCGAAACATTTTAACCACAGATCAAGAAGAGATTCCTGTTTGAACCATTACAAAGGGAATTGGGAATCACAGAGTGAAGCCAGTTTGTTACAGACATGAGTCTGAAATAGATTTAGAGACAAAGTTTGGAAAGTTTCTGCATTGATCGGTGGGGGAATTCTCTTAGCAGTGCCAAACATCATTAATAATTACTGATCCAGACCTCGTTTCCTTCTCCAGTCTTAGTCCAGCACTCCTAATCTGAGCTCGCTGAACACTTTTGCTTTTAAACACCAGTTTAACAAGACAGGAGGAAAATCATTTGATACTCACTGCATACTCCTCTGGAGTGACCTTCAACACATCAAACACAACGGCATCAAAACTCTTCTTCAGCTCCGAGGACGTCTTATCGCTGAGGGACTCTGAGCTGCTGCTCCTCTGAGTGGGAGAAACAAACAAAGAAGAACAAAGTAAAAACTTGATGGAGCAGGACGGAGCAGGCTTTTCCAGGCCAGACAGAGAATCCCAGTTTTCTTCAAGCACTGACCCATTTCTAAACATTTCTATTCCTTTCCTCCAAGGACTAGAAAACTGCTATGGGAATATCTAATTGACGTTTCTTCTAGCTGTGTGCTTTATTTATTTTTATTTTATTTATTTATTTGAGGGATCTTGTAGCTGCTGAAGCAAAAATAAAGTGGCGTTTAATAGGCCACATAGCATCTTGTAAATGCATGAATTGGTTGAAGCATACATTAAAATATAATTTTTATTTAAATAACAACAATAATCCCAAATTTCAAGGTACTTTTTTGTGTTTTCCTATTTGATGCTTTTGTCACGTGAAGCGCTTTGAATTGTGCTACAAATTAATGTGCCTGTTATGCAACAGAATGGAATATGAGGCAATCCGTCAGTGAAAAAACTACTTTAAGAACTTTAAGCTGCTGAACGAGGATGCAATCAGCTACCATCAAATTAAAATTAAACCAATAATAACAGAGTTCCTACAGCATAAGGTAAGTTAAATTCAAGACTTTTTAAGACTTTTTAATGCCACTTGAAATAAAAAATTAAGACCAAATTCACAAGAAACGCTTGC